CTTCTCCGGCTACTTCGCCTACGACTGCTTGAACGACCTTTTTCTGCAGACAGGCCTGCTCGACCGGTACCTGGCGCTGGTCATGTCGCCGCTACCGCTGCTGCTGCTGCACGTCGACTATCTGGTCAGCTTCACGCGCGGCTACCGCTGCTACCACCTCTCCCACGACCTGCTCATCCTCAATGTGCAGCACTTTGGAAGGCTCAATCCAACGCTGAACAGCGCCCGGGCGTTGCTTCCTCTTCTGAGTGCAAGCAAAACGAGTGAGGAAAAGGCAAAGCGCTCCAAGCTGGTGAAGCTAAAGTGGCGGCAGCTGCCTCACCTCGGTCCCCTTGAGCACTGGATTCGAGTGCGAGCCGTCGCCCTGGTCGCTCTTAACCAGCGGCTTCTGGCCACCATCGTGGTCGCTCTGGGCTGCTTCTACCTGCTGGTGGCCTACTTCTTCAGTCTGACGACCGCCTGGCGCCGCCACTTTACGCCGGCCAGGCAGCTGGCCACCGCCGTGGACGGCTGCCTGGCGCTGTACCTCATCTGGCGGAGCATCAAAATTGGCCTCTTCCTCATGCAAACACTCCACCTCCTCTTCACCGTTCAATTAGCTCAGCAACTGGTGCTCAACAGACGGCTAGATAGACTACTGACTTGTTTGGAGACTAGGCTACCAGTTGGAGAAAAGTCGAAGAAATCAGGACGAGGTAATCAACTGGCAGCCTTTCTCAGTGTCTACCTTCAGCGGCATTTTCAACTAATGGGAGACATGATGACGATGAACCGGCAGCTGATCTCCCGATTTCTGCTCACCTGCCTGACGACCATCTTTGGCTTCTACGTCTACTCGCTCAGCCTGATGCTGCTGAAAACCGACCGACTGGAGGCCGTTGAGGGGGCTCTCGTCTGCTCCTCTTTTCTCCTCCTGTCGGTCTTCTTTCTCCTTGACCTCCGCCGGCTGGTGGCCGCCCACCGAACGCTGCACAGTCCGGCAAAGCTGCTCTACCGATCGGTGGACTGTCTGAGTGCTTCAGAAGAAGGTACCTTTGTTGTTGAGAAAACTTCTCAACTGCATCTCAAGCTAAAGCTGTCCACTTACTATGAAGTGTTGACCTCTGGAGAAGAATTCGCTTTCAGTGTTGGTCCAGTTGGAAAAGTGACCTCTAATGCACTTTTACAGGTATTAGTAGTACCTGGTAGTGATTCAGTCATTTTGACAGTATTTCTAAAAATATTTTTGTTTTTTAGTTTGCTTTTGTGTACTTAGCCAACTTAATTTTCTCCTTCAATCTCATTCTTGGATACTAGTTTAACTAATTTTATTTGGTGGTTCCGTCACTTTAGCTTCTTCGAATGTGAGCCACTGTCAGAAAAAAGTAGACGGCAACATTTCCAATTATCTGTCAATAAAAATTCAGTCAATCAATTTAAACTAAAGCAAAGTAATTAAATGATTTAATTGTTACCTGCTCAGCAGTGTTGTAGGTAATGAGGTAGTCATTCAACAGGCGGAAACCTGATTTACTGTTTGAATTTAGGTGCTCACAAATGCTGTTCATCTGACAATAAAACTTTGTTACTAAAAAATGATCAGTTAAACATTTTCAAAAAGTACCTTAATTTGTTGTTTGTATTGCCTTTTAGGAGTGCTCAATTTTCCAGTCAGTGATGTCCATTTTTTTGATAAACGTCCATTGGCATAGACCACTCCACCGGCAACAAAAATGATGCCAAACATGTTGATCAGATGATTGAGGACGACAATGTAGTAGGCGGCATTTAGGTGCACCACCGGCAACGGCGCAAGGAAGCAGATGTACACGCCCAGGGCGACGATTGTAGTGTAGAAAGTAAAGATAACGCTACTGTAGGAACGCCAAAAGCAGTTGTACTCTGCCAGCTCCTCATACAGCTCACAGTACTTCCGGTGCAGGAAGAGCATTTTGAAACAGACAAAATTGTCACTGTTTGATGAAAATCCTTTTCGGTGCTNTTGTACTCTGCCAGCTCCTCATACAGCTCACAGTACTTCCGGTGCAGGAAGAGCATTTTGAAACAGACAAAATTGTCACTGTTTGATGAAAATCCTTTTCGGTGCTTTGTTTGACTGTTTGACTTGGTAATACTTTGATTTATTTTGCGCTCTATTTTGGCAATGATTGAAGACTGCTTTATTTTAATGTAGCCCGCCGTCAGGATGAAGGCAAGAAGGTTGGTGTAAATGACTGAAAAAGAATAACATTTTACAGCTAAGAAAACTAAAAATTAAAGTGAATTAGTTTACCAGCAATAGCCAGAAAGACCCAGGCAGTGTTGACAATTACCCAAAAAACGGCCAAAAAAACTTGTTCTTGAAAGACGCCCGCCGCATTGTTAGAAATGATTAAGGCAAGAAAAGAAACTGGCCCAAGGGACCACATGATCGAGTGGTAGTACCAGACTACCGTTTGACGGAGTTTACTAAATTTGAAGTAGTCATCACGAGATAAACCAACTGCTTTTGGTTGAAGAAACGCTTGCTGTTGTTGCTGTTGTTCTAATTTTCTTCTCTCTTCCACACGAAAGAGGGCCAAAAAACGGTAGTCAAGCGGATCATCCGAGGAAATGGTCACTGATAGAAAGAGCAGTGCAATGAGCGTCCACAGGAGAAAGGTCGTCTCGGTGATGGTGAAAGTGTCTCTGTGGCGCCAGTATTCGACGCCCAGGAGGATTCGGCTTGTTCGAGTGTTGGTCGCTGAGGAGATAAAGGCAGTGACAAAGCATTTGACCGCAAAAAGGGTGAAAGTAAAGGTGAGGAACTTGACGTGAAATGGCTTGGCAATTTTGAGAGTGTTTTCATTTTGTTGACGTTTTGCAACTTTTTTGTGAGCTTGACCGCAGTAAATGCCCAGTTGTTCTACAATTGTTTGGTAGTAGTACAAGGTGTAGTAAAAAGAGTAAAGTATTTGCAAATTACAAATTTTTTTCATTTTTTAAACTTTTAAATTTGTAAAAATGAAATTTTTTATTTAATAAAAAGTATGACATAGTGTATACAAAGTTTGTTTTGTAGTACATGTACAAACTTTTCAGGTTTATTGGTACGGAACTGAAAAAGTCATTTATCAAAATAATTGAAAATAGATTAAATTTATAAGTAAGTTAACTTATTTTTGGTACATTTTTATCTTATTTTTAATTAAAAAGACATTAAAACCTTTGTATTTGCAAAAGATATCTAAATGTTTTTTAGGTTTTTTCAGTTAAAAAAAGTAATTTTGCTAATGTTTAAAAAACGTTTTTGCAAAGATTCTAACAACTGTAAATTTAAACAAAATCAAATAAATATGGTTGACTTTAAACTGATTTTATTTTTAAACAATAACATTTCTAACCAGTTTTAAAATTAAAAAATTAAAATGTTTTTTATCATGAGTGTAGAAATGAAATAAAAAATTGTGTTAATGAAATCATTTCACTAAAATCCCATTTCGTTTACCAAACCCAAACATGCCCTTTAGTGTAATGGTGATGCCAAAAACTGCAAAGTTTGATTAAGTGCCCATCAAAGAAGTGTTAAATAATAAACAGAGACACCAGTTCTCACATGTTGACAATCTGTGGTTATCTGCAAAGAGGTCTGTTGCTCTGATAACTCCGACTTGTCAGACAACAACTTACAAGTTGTGTGGCACAAAGAGCTTCTTTAAGTAAATATGCAAAACGCTGATTCACAACTTAATGTTGTAGCAGTGGCAAGGACAAGTACGATTGAACTAATTCAATTTTAAGACAGCAGTAGGACACAAAGTTCAGGATATCTCAAGTTTTTTGTTGTATAAAAACGTTTTGCCCCAAGAAAAAACTTCATCACTACCACTCATTTTCCCTCTTTTGTGATTTACTCTAGTAATTTAATTTTTAACCACCTCACCTTCTTAAAAAATGGCCGCAAGCATCGTTGGCAAGTACAAGCTGAAGTCCTCGGAGAACTTTGACGCCTTCCTCAAGGAGATTGGCGTCGGCCTGGTGACGCGAAAACTGGCCAACGCCGCCTCTCCCTCGCTGGAGATCACCGTTGATGGGGAGTACACGTCACTGAAGGCCGTGGCGCCCTTCAAGACGCAAACCACTCGCTTCAAGCTGGGCGAGGAGTTTGACGAGGAGCGCATGGACGGCAAGAAGGTCAAGGTAAGCAGATGAACAAAGTTAAAGTGCTTACATTAAGTTAGTAAAACATTTTTGTTTTTCCTACAGTCAGTTGTCACCGCCGAGGGAAACGTCTACACGCAGATCCAGAAGGACAACGACCTGGAGATCAAGTACATTCGAGAGTTCACTGACGACGAGATTAAGGTGACCTCCCTCTGCAACGGTGTCTCCTGCCTGCGAGTCTACGGCAGAGTTTAGGCGATTTTTGTTGTAAATATATATATATTATATTATGTAGTTTTGTGTGTGTAAATTGTTGTCAATAAAAAACCATTTCAAAGAAGAAAGAGAAAAAACAGCTCAACTTACCAGTTATTTACCACTTAATCAAATTGGAGCCCTTTTTAGTGCACCAAAAAAGAGGCGAATCAACCGACAGCGAACAACGCCGAAAAAGGTGCTCTCCGCTGAAAGTCACCACCGAGACTGCCAGTCCTGAAGCCCAACAGTGAAAGAGCGACGATACCTCAAAGAGGGTGACCACTTTAATACTGCGATGAACTGCTGCAGCTCCTCGAAACGCCTCTTGCAACGGATTTCCCGTCATGGTGTGCGAGTAACGGGTTTGCTTTCGCTGGCTCACCACCAAAAACTGCCTCCTAACGGTGCTTTGCAGTAGGTAGTCAAAGATGCCTGCCTCACGCAGAGAGTCGATGCTGAAAAGAAAGGATAAAATTAATAATATAAAACCTAAAAACTAAAACTTTCCCTACACAAAGTTAAACGGCCTCATCAGCACTGAAGAGATGGCTCCCTTCTGCAGTGCCACACTTGTGGTGATTGACTCGAGGTTTTCCGAGCTAATGTGCAGCGGTTTGGTGGCCTGAATTTGGCGATGCGTCACCAGGCTGAGACGCATCGCCAGAACCACATTTCGCCGACTTTCCTCTGCTCGCGTCACCAGGTGCTCCGTCTGGGAGAGCATCTGCTGGCCATTGCGCAGCATGTGCAGGCCAATCTGGTGGTAGACGTCCTGATCGTGGTTATCATCACCATTATTATTATTGTCTTTTCTAAAAGCGCCCGTCTTGTTCAGGTTCATAAAGTCGGCAAAAAGCGAGGTGCCGTCCTTGCAGAGCAGGTATCGCCGATCTGAGGTGGCAATGGCAAAAATGTCGGCAATGGTGTCCACTGCCGGCTCAAAGGAGGGCACTGTTAGGCTGGAGTAAAAGATGGAGCTGAGCAGAGTGGAGAGAACAAGGCCGGAGATCATCCAAGAAGAGTAGAGTAGTCGGCTGGCAGACCTTTTCTCGGAATGAATGCTGTGCATTGCTGTACATTGATAAAAAAAATTAAAACAAAAATGGCTTCTGGATATCAAAATCGGCAATGAAACACCTATCAACTCAGAGCAATTGGTTAT